CCGTGCCACTCTTAGCGCCACACTCAATTCGTCAAAGATACAAGTGAAGTCGATCCTTTGGCCAGTTATCTGCTAAACAGTTGTGGTATCTCTCCATCTGTACCGGTGTATTCCCCTACCCTATATGCTCGTAACACTGTTAACAATAACAACTTCTCATATGCCGATTCAAACCTAGACCTAGTGTGCTATTTTGAGCGGATTTAGTGAGACCTATCCACACTCTTCGCTTGCTCCCTCATCCTCCCACATTTAGTCCGCAATCCTGTTCCTTCAGGTCCTATCAGAGTCTCCCTCTTGCTCTCTAAAATCCATCTCTTATCTGGTTGGTTCAGAGACTTCACTCGATCACTGCTACCGTATCCGTGCTACTCGAGGCGTTATGGTTTACACTCTGCCTTAAGTATTGGATAGCATGTATCCGTCATTCTCACTAAGCGAGCCTCCAAAGTCTGGATTCTCAAGTAGCAATTTGACGCTGTTGATTCCATTATCATTGTACTGCATGTGCACCAAGTAAATCTCATGGTTAACCTTTTACTTCGTGGACCACGCCTATGATCAAACATATCTACCAATAGCCAACTATCGATGGCCTCCACCGCATCTCTCGCCCCTCTATCCATAATGCCAAGTCTATGACTCTTATGCTATGGTCTCTTGTGTGCCGACACCCAAATGTGATAGTTCTAGTTGATTTGAATAGCCGCATTGTAGACGTCTACTTTTAGCTTCTGATTGTTCTTCTCTGGTGTCCTTGCGGTTTCTTTTCCGAAAACTGAAAATATGCCCTTTATCTAGCCGTCTTCCTTTTGCTGATCCTGCTGTTCCCGGATCTGCGAATTTGCTTGGGCAACATAAAAAGTTTTTGCTAATCTTGCCTTCTTCAAGTCCTTTGTTCATTATATCTCTTTCAGCCAGAACACCGATACGGTGGCAGTGATCGAGTGAAGTCACTGAACCAACCAGATAAGAGATGGATCTTAGAGAGAAAGAGGTAGACTCTGATAGGACCTGAAGGAACAGGATTGCAGACTAAATGGATAAAATTGTAGCAACACTCTCCGCACGGTGGTAGGATGAGGGAGCACGCGAAGAGTGTGGATAGGTCTCATTAAATTCGCTCAAAAGAGCACACTAGGTCCAGGTTTGAATCGGCGTGTGAGAAGTTGGGATTTTTAACGGTGTTACGAGCATATACGATAGGGGAATACACCGGTACAGATGGAGAGATGCCACAATTGTTTAGCAGACAACTGATCAAAGGATCGACTTCACTCGTATCTTCAACGAGTTGAGTGTGGAGTTAAGATTGGTACAGCTCATTGACGATGCCGGTGAAGCATCTGAGAATGTGCCAAGTGCACAGTCTAATTCTGAATATTACCATGCACACTGTGGACTCTGTTTGTCTAGATCTTTCTGCCAATATGATCAAGTTTGACGACAAAATTAAGCCTATTATAGTTCCTTACCGTTTGTCTTTTTTATCAACTTCATTTAATGTTTCCTATTATCATTGTTCACCTCTGTTTCACCAACTCAGACAACGTCTCATCCGCCGAATTTCTCAAAAATCCACTCTCTCTGAATCTTACGGGCTTTCGGACTTGGGACAGAATTGCCATAGAAATGGAAGTGAATTGCTCGGAGATGGGAGTAGAGAGGAGAACACTTTTACTGGATTCCCTGGTCTTCCTTTATTAAGGCTTCAAAGTGGATCCTCAATGCAAGCCAACAGTAGTCCCCTTTTAATTCTCCAAAATGAGCAACCTGTAAGTTTTTCTTTTTCACGAGTTTGTAATTAACTTATCTTAATTAGCCAAGTATATTTCTATTACATGACCACTTCTTTTTCTTACTTCTGCATAAAAAGAATTTTTTTATTGATCTAAGTCAATAAAAAGTTCTATGTAGTGCTCGATTTCCGACTTCTACTTGGTTTCCATTTAATTTTCCCACATCATTCTCTTGAATTAGATTTTTGACTTTATGTGGACTATTTCTTTTAAGCGAACTCTGGACAACTTCCACTTGTGGAAATTTTATTATCTTGATGATGTAAAAACTAAAGCTTAGCAAGGTTAATTAGGCCATTCCTGCTCTAACCTCTCCCTACATCTCAGCTCCTTAGGCTGCTATTACCAAACGGATCTAGGATGATAAATCAAAATATTGAATACCTAGATCTCTGCAAATCATGATCCATTTTTAGACTATGCCTATTCTTCTGTTCAGCATGGATATAATTTATCATTAATTGACGCTCAGGCTTTGACTATAAGCCACTACTCTCCTGCACTCTAAAAGCTAAGCTTAGCATTTCACTTTGCTTTAACTCTGCTTCTCCTACTTTCATAAATACACTGGATCATTTTGAAGGAGATATTTCGTAATGCGACCATATAATTCTTATGTTTTTTTAGGCATCAGACAGTTGCTTTGATACATTTTCTGACGGTAGTCTACTTCCTAGTCAATATCACTAGTGAAAATAGATTTGCTTGACACTCGACCTCAAGGAATCAATGATGTGTAAGATAAGCTTTTGGAAGTTTTCTCGTAAGCAAAAGGTCGTACATCCTTAATTTAAATGTCTGTAGCCACTTTGCTTTGCTTTGTCTGACTTTCTGTTTCCTCATCGAATATTAGAACCCGTCTCTTTTAGCATTACAGCAATCAGCACTGATGGCTTCTAAAAGGAAACAAAAAGCCCCTATTAATATATTTTTTAGCATTTAAAAAGCCAGGTTTGTAGGGAGTTTAACAACAGTTTTTGAAGTACATGTACAAACGCTCCTTCATTTTGTTACTCAAAAACTTTCATCTTCTATTTCATGATTTCGGAATCTGGATATTGATCATTTTATTTATAAAATCCTTATTAATGCTCGGACTGCCGCTACTGATTTAGGTTCCTTTGGTGATGATGCCTGCTAAGTAAATGCACTGATTTTGCATGAACTATCATACTAAAACTTTTCCGTATTTACTCTTTTCATTTTCAGACTTTGCTTACTTCTGTCAGCGATGAGTCGATTTTGACATCAGAGGTAACGAAGGGCGAAATAAAGAGGATAGATCCGCAAAATGAAGCAGAAGGAGTTATTGGGTCGTCAGAGTCATCGCCGAGTCCAGATTCTGTTTGTGCTCCTCCAGACATAAATTCGCACCCGGCTTCACTCAGCTCCATTTCGCCCTCCACGACTTGCATTTCTGCCAGAGCATCTTGTAGCACGGTGCAATGTGTTGATTGCGATTTGGCCATTTGTCTGACCGATTCCTCTTCAAAACTGGCATCAGATGAAAATGTGGTCGACTTCGGCTTTCACCAGCTGGCCGGCAATTCAAGGAGTAAAATCCAAGCGGATGGAAAGATGGAATCGGGGGTCATTTTTGACGATAGGTTGGAGGAGGAGAGAGGAGATGGGGTTGATGAAGCAGATAGACTACCTCTTATTCCGTCTGTGGCTCATAATATGACTGAGATGGAACGTCTTTGTGCACGACTTTCCGTAGTGGAACAGCTAATCGAGATGGATCGTGCTGCTGAAGCTAAACTTTGCCGAGAAATGCACATTTTCTCTGGCGACCCCGTAAGCTTAATTTTCAATAACCCTCAGGCCTGTTACATGGCAACTCGTTTTGTTTGCGTCCTTGACTAATTTCCACCTATTCTCTAGTTGCTGGTCTAGTGAGATAGCAAGATAGGTTAAGTTATTTGTTATAAGCAGGCTGATATGGTTATTGTGGTTTCCTCTATTCTGTTTAAGTATTATTAAGATGATCTTCGTATAAATGACTAGGTTGTGGAAACGTGGTCATATAAATAATTAAGGACTCAACAAAGAAACATCTTATCCACGAGCTTTTTTCATTTATTTTTATGATTGCTTCATTTCGCGTAATAGTGTCATGGAGAGGTACATTAATTTCACTAGAAAACCATGTCGGTTGTTTTTCATTCTGATATAATTCAGGCTGCCACCTAGCCTACCAGCTCACCACTACATGTTATATATACTCCAACAAAATGAATTACCGGATGCATGTAATGATCTGCTATTTGTGCATGTGTGAGAAAGGTGTATGCTTAAGTGCTGGTGTGGGATTGTGGGGGGGGGGACGAAGCCAATTTTGAGTGATGCGAATAGATGGTAACGCTTATCCCAGGTTGTCAAGTTTTTACGATCATTTTTTTAGGCATACATATCTACGATCAAATAATTTCGGACGCCAGCCTAGTTAGGTTGATAATCAGATCTGGAGAATGTGTGAATACAATTAGAATCATGTCAAATAAGACTATTTGGATCGGCTTATTTTTTTATGGCGGCTCAAGCCTATCAATCACCTATCTAAGTAAGCTAAATCAAACTTTTCTCTGATATGCTGATTTCAATAGGTTTTCTTATATTATGTCTTACGGCAGACTGCATAATCAGTAAACCGATGACTTATTCCTATTACTCCTCGGTACAACGATTAGCCCTGTTTTGTCAAGCTCGTAGCTGTCGATATTTATCCTTTATCCTTTTCGTTTATTAAGTTATTTGGAAGCATTGGATCCAGCAGTCTACAAGCATTTTTGTGTTCGGCTACTGTATGGCGAATGCGGCGGTACGCCTCTCCAACTCGAAAAAAGTGTTTCATAGAATCCCTATTTAGATATAGAATCATCAATCCCTTTAAAAATGAGCATAATTGAATAAAATGTCAAAGTTTCTCTCAAAAGTGTTTTTCATCCTTTGCTTCTTGCAATTTTTTGCATATTTCAAACTCCCCATTCCATTCCAAATGGCCTCTGTTCACAACAATATTTGCGAAGAGGAACTGGGTTGCGTTTCTTATTAAACTG